TTTTAAATCTGAACTAATAGAAAATTTTAAACAAGCAATTTTCTCTTGCAATTTTTATGTTTTTTATTGGTGTAAATAAGTAAAAATACTAAAATATTAAAAAAAATTTTTTTGAAAGTTTTGTTTAAAATTCTAAATTGTGCTGCTTTTTTTAAATTATAGATGAGTATTATAGCACAATTTCTATAAAGGAATTTTATTTCAATTATATTTCATAATACATCATAATGATAAACACTTTTGCCTCCTTAAAAATGTTTATACATTTAATTCTAATGTTAAAATTGTATTTAACCGTAATAATTAATTTTGCTTGTATTTTACAGTGATTATTTTTTAAAATTTATTTTTAGTTCTGCATAAGGTTTTTTTTTTTATTTACTGTTAATTTAATTTATTAGCCCAAAGGGGAGGTAGCCTAGAAAGGCTGTTAATTTCGAAGCGGCATTTTGCGCTGTTTTACTATAAATGTCCCTGGCTCCTTGCAAATTGTTGTTACCAAATATTATCGCCCTGTATTATATGTAAGGAAATTAAATAATGAAGAATCTGAATGAATACATGTATGTTTCTCGCACTGTGACAAAAACGACAGTATCTAGAGCCATCAAATTTTGAATAATGTAATCCTCCACCTGAACATGGGCATCTGGGCGGCCGAGTTTCGAATTTGTTTTAATCTATTTCATATTTTGTAAATCTTTTAACGAATTTTTGATTAACAAACTCAACGAATTCAGAGCGAGCACTGTACGGAAAATAACAGTTTTATCTCTGCGGAAATTCTAAAGATATGCTGTTTTCAAATGTATGTGGTTTACGGGCGAAGAACATGATATTCAATAAACATAGGTAACACACAAAACGTTAAAAAAAGGTTCCTTTTGGGCGTAACATAAAATCCGAGTGCTTATAGATTTTATTTTACCTTTTTTTCCCCCTTCATTACACTCAGAAAATTTTATGCTCCGAATTTTATAAATTTCTAAAATAAATATTCCACTTTAATGTTAATAAGTTAATGATGATACAATCAAATAAATGATTGTTTTGTAATGTTATTATAGTTTTGAAAATCACTACCTGAAAATGGTCATTAAATTAAAAAAAAATTATCAAATCTTGTTTAATTTTACCTTATTTATTTCAAAGCATCACATACTATCAATCTTATTTAATTTTACGTTATTTGTATGCAAAATTAAGTTCATAAATTTTGTGCCCAGTGTTTTTACCGTTTTACCAAAGTAAAGATGTTTGTACAAGAGTTACGCGTGAAAAAAATGCACGAAATGCAGTGAAAAGTGCTTTAATGAGATATATTAAATCCTATTAGGAAAAAACTGTGGCATTCATAATCTCATGACTATACAACATATCACATTTAATAATTAAAAAGAGTTATGTAATACAAATGCCGTAGATTTCAGCGTTAACGTAAACCAGATCGTCCCTACTCTTTCTTGCCGACATGTCGGTGACACGCGCCCCGCCCACTGGGTTAGTCTATTTCTTATAAGGTCCATGCATACATGGAGAAAATGTCCTTTACAGATCACCACTTGCAAAATTGTTCGCAAATTTTTTTTTCTGCTAATTTCAATATTGAAGATGCACTAAATTCTAGAACGCTAGTTAAAACTAAGAAAGAAGAAAAAAAATAAGATACTGATTGTAGCTAGCAGTTGAATAAGAACATGATAAATCTCAGAGATTAAATTTTCTGAACTCAACCATTTATGATTCTGTGAAACAACTTTCAAGTTTCATTTCAAATCTCAAACCATGGGTCCCATATATTTTTAAAGTAAAGAATTTGCTCTACCCCATTGAGCTCTATAACTTGCTTTTCAAACATCAACAAAATGCACCACAATGCTGAATGCAAGCGATCATGCAGAAGAAATGAAGTGACTCAAAGCATTTCGAGAGACAATATTCATTAAAAAGAACAGATGCCAAAAGAACAGATGCCAAAAGAACAGTCTGATGAGACTTTTATGTTTTTTTAAATAATTATTTTTTTGGGGGAAAGAAAACCTCTATCAATCTGCAACCGAGACAGTGTAGAGCCATCATTTGGATAAATTGAGTCATATCTCCAAACAAGAGGGGGGGGAAGGAGAGAACTGAACAACAAGAAAAGGTAAAGTGTTTTATTGTGATAATGCCAGACTTCCCCCCCCCCAAGTTTGGTAACTCATCAGAAGCTGTGGTCAAACTATAACACGTCTCCAAGAAGAGCATTCCTGCAAAGAATTTCGGTAAAAGGAAATTCTGGTATTTATTTTAAAAAGTCTTTCTAAAGATCAATTCTCCTAAAAAAATAATGACGAAATTCAGAAAATATGGACATTTTAAAGATTTTTAGCATCAATGAATCCTCTTTTTAGGAAACACACCTACATGAAGAATTATTTAAGCAAATCCATGTCTTCATGAAAAAAATTACAATGGTGTTCTTTGAAAATACTAATAAGGTTAACATTAGCACTATTTTTAACCTTTCAGTAATACACTGATCAGACAGACAATAAAAATCTGTTTTAAGAAGTAACTAAATATTATAATTCATCACGCTCTTTGTTATTTAAAGGAAGACTGTTCTTTCATATAATTCAACTATAAAATCAAGTCTTTCCTCCACTTGATTTAATTTTTATTCTGCCTTCTAAATCAGTATGGCTCTGAAAATCCGCCACTTGAATTCTCAATATTTTGCTCGCAAGTTAATTTTGCATTGCTTAATCAACGACAATGCTTCTTCCCCCCCACAGCCAATTTCCATCAGGCACCTGACATCTCAATCCCCTTAACCCCTTGGGGACATTTGACGTCTGAGACACGTCATTCACTTTTTCTCCCCTAGGAGCAGATGACGTGTCTAAGATGTCAAACCAAAAATTAAACTCTTGGGTACATTTCACGTCTGAGAGACGTCATTCACTTGTTTTCCCTAGGAGCGTATGATTCACATACTTAGAACGAAACATTCAAATGCTGATTTGATAAACACAGGCAAAAGGAGATAGCGAAAATATTATAAAACCGGCATCAGATATGGCCTTTTATAATGCTTACTATATTTTATATCCTTTCGTTTAGCTATTGCCGAAGAATTGCTGGAGCAATTGTCATTGCCAAATTATAAGCATCGTGGACGCCCGTCAAGTAGAGATACACCATTTCGTTTGACAGCGAAAAATTGGGCACACTTTCCTGAGAACATTCCGTAAACTAAGTCCAAGCAACATCCTGGGAAAAGGTGCCGTGTTTGTTATAAGCATCATATTAGGAAAGAGACTACGTGGCAGTGCAAACAATGCAAAGTAGCACTGCATTTACTTACTTGCTTTGAAAAATTTCGCACTCTGCATAATTATTAGTAATTGTTTTTTTTTTTTTTTGTTTTGTTTTTGTTTTTTTTGTTTTGTTATAGCTTGAATTTATTTCATTTAGTTTTACTTTGTTGTTGTTAATTTATTTTTGTTTTGCAATTTTAGTTACTTGAAGACATCTTAATACTACATATGTCACCAATATTTTAGAAATAAATAAATTCTTACGTAAAATGTACTGCTTTTGCATTCTACTCCAAGCAACCAAAAAATTATATCCGTTCCACGTGCAAATATTTTCTCAAATAAATCCATACCCAAGGGGTTAAGTTGCTGATTACTCGAAGTTACTTGAGCAGAACTTTGTCTTACTTTGAAACCTGAGTCTGCAAACACTCAATGCAACAAAATACAAATTTTCATAACCGGTATATATTAGTTGACTAGGCCAAGGCCCCAGACCAAGCACTCAAATGCAAACAAATTTACTTAAACTAGAAGGAAATCAAATCCGAGCCCAAACCAAGGAATGAACTTAAAAATCATAGTGTCAATGAAGATAAATCTAACAGACTTGCACTGAATGCTTTTATGGATATTTTCAAACTCTTTAAAAAAACTAAATATGTTTAAAGGCTTTTCCCTGTTAAATATATTTTCCAAAATACTGATTAAATGCCTGAAATGAATGCAAATGAAAATACTATTGGTTAACTCTTTATACTGTTCACTCTGTTTGAAGAAATTTTTACTGTTAATGTTGTTACTAATAAAAAATAATTACTTGTAATGCAAGTTATAGTTATACTTTTCTGTTTGCTTTATTGTAAACTTTCCTTGCCCTACTTCTGACATATACCTTTAAATAATATTATTTATAATTACCCTGATGATTGCACCCCCCTCCTACAGTGTAAAGTACCAGATCGTTTTTGCTGCTTTTACTCTCTTTATTATTGATATTTATGTGTATATTACCTACCATGCTTTTTATGTAATTTATCAGATATGTCTTTATCCTACTGCCAATGTTATTATTTTAAAACTTCATTCTTACCCAAAGACTCACACTTAATTATACTGTATTTTATGTTTAATGTATTTTACTTTTTAGTAACTTTAGTCACCAGCTCATACGGCTTTCACCCAGATGCTTATTTTGTTTCTGTCTATTAAATCTCTTCGCTTCTTTCACAATTATTGTTATCAGCCCATTTACTTTTCGGTACACTATTTTTAATCTTAATTGATTATGTTTCTACTGATATTATGCAAAATTGCTCATAAATAAGTTGCAGTTATTTTCTTGCATGTGTATTAGGAAAGTCCCAATTTTGTTCGATGAGGGGTAGGGCCTTCGGCCCAGGTACCCTGGTGTTTACATTGTTCCCCAGTGAGAAGGTGAGCTAAAATCCTTCCAAACGGCTTCCAAATCCATCTTTAAGTCCATCAAAATATGCCACCCATCAAGAAGCAAAAAATAAAAATTTAAATTCTTCCTTTAGAAAATTTTTACTTTAACCTTTAAAAATACATATTACTCAAACATAATTTTGTTTTTTCTCACTATAGCATATCGTCTTCTCAAAGCAGATAAAATACAAATGACTACAATTACAAAACATTCGAAACATAAGAAGACAAAACTAATTGATTGGTTACCTGTCCGACGATACGCTTTTGGTGACATAGAGTCTTCATTTTGTGATTGGCTCCATTTGTGCTGAGGAAGTACAAGAGCTGGTACATTTTCACAGGAAGATTTTTTTTCTTCCAAGGAAACAGGACTGATGACAATCAAATTTGACCTTTGACTAGCTTTCTGTGATAAAAGCAAACATGCTAAAAATTAGATGTTTTCAAAAATAATATTAGATATATATTATTACATACCTGCCAACCTCTAAAGATAAAAATTCAGAAGAACACGAAGAATTAATATCATGCTTTGATATTAAAAAAATAACAACTTATACAAATAGAAAAAAGAAAATTGTACTTACATTAGTAAATCTCAATTAAGTAGTAACTAAAAAATTTATTAGGAAACATAAAACAAGAACTTAATGTTATACAAAACATTATTGCAATGAATTTAGAGTGCATTTTTTGGCTTTAGCCAAAAATTCTTTGGAAAATTTCCTGTCATAAAAATTAGTTTCCTCATAACATTTAGCAATTAAAATGTTTTCTAGAGTTTTTGGTGAAATTGAAGAACGAAACAGTTTTGTTTTTCTTCACAACACTGAAGACTCTCTCGCACTCAGCATTACTGTGTGGAATTACGAGAATAGCAGATAAAACTCTTGCTAGTCTATCATATTTTGGTATTCCATCAGCTCTTTTTATTCTTTTTAAGGTACCAACGAGGACACCAAGTCTATCTTCTCCAGAACTGGCAAAGTCTTCAAACTGTGCAGCAGAAAATTGGTTCTGTAGTTCATCTAAAGCATCATTATGGCATTCATTTTCTTTAATTGTTAACAAAAATGGAAATTTATCAATAAAAAACGAATCTTTTCAAAAGATGAATTTTCAATTTGTTTCAAATTTGCCACTTCAGCATTTAAAAGAACTTCATTTTGCAAAGGAAACTTCCTTACAATGTAATCACAGGCTGAGGAAAAGTACTTTCTAACACATTGAAAAAATTCTTTTTTCTCATGATCTTTCAAAGAATTTAGAAGTTTCCTGGTTTGATTTCCAATCATAACCACCGTGACTTATTATGAAGTCACACACGCACACGTTGCAAAATGCATAGTTATTTTCTTTGAAGGATTCTTTAATTGTTGGAAATTTGGCTTTGTAGGCAGGCCGAAAATGTTGAGAATACGGTTTTTTTGAACTCATTTCGTAACAACGACGTATTAAGAAAATTCGTAGCACGTGGAAACAAAAAACAAACAAAAAAAACAAAAAATAGAGAGAATAAATAAAACAGAATGCGACAATGCAAGCTCGCTGAGTAATTCCCTTGCTGCTGAAGCGAACGCGAAAAAAATAATCTGGCGCCCACAAAGTAAAAGAGTGGGAGAAACAAGTTCAGCGCATTGGATTAGCTGGTTAAGCAGCGAGTTGGGAGAAACCGCAGGTTACTGGATTCGAAGTAATCGGTAGTTGGCGGTAAAACACGATGCAATTGGCGAAAAATTCTAAAATTTCGACAAAAATCACTAAAAACACTTGAAAAAGGAAAAAAAATCGTAAAAAATGGATTGCGATCGTAAAATCGTAAATACAAACGCATTTTCGTAAAAATTACGAAAAATTCGTAAAAGTTGGCAGGTATGGTTATTAACAAAATAAAAACACTATCTTCTTAAAAAGTATCACATCTTTAAAGAGTTTAATGATAATACATTTTTGGCATTTTTCACGTTTACTTAAAATCTTAATGAAACTGAATAGTTTGAAAAATTAAAAATTTACACTATTTAAAAGTTTTAGTACTTCGTAAGTTGGCTTTTATAAAAAAAATTGATATTTTTTTCTCTCTTATTGCACCAATTTCTTATGTTTTTGAGAAAATTATTTACAGTCATTTTTCCTGCCATGTGCAACTGAAGTCTGTTGCATACAGTGTGATATGCATGATTTTAGAGAAACTTTAATGCATGGAAATTCTGTAGACTATGAAGCTTTTAATTTTTCGCTTGACAATTTTAGCCTTTTATTTTGAGGCAGTGCTTTCTTGCCACAATCTGAATGAACAACCTGGTCGGAATTTGCAGATCTATTACTGGCTGCTATTCAAAACCAGCAAGACACTAAACTTAACCAGGGTTCATAGCCACATTTTAGTTAAAAAAATAAGCACCTATAAGCACTTTTCAAGCACATTTTAAGGAAAAAATAAGCACCTGTCTAATTACATTATACACAACTGCATAACCTTTAAAGAAAAATTAGACTTGTAATTTAAAATATGAGCAATGCAATATTTATTAAGAGAATGAGCATTACCTCAACAATGGAAAACAATTAACTTTTTTTTTTAATTTTAAATGACAGTTCAATTTACAGAATTAGTTTACAATGAGAGAAAAAAAACTATGCAATAATAAAGTATATTACAAAATTTAATGATGATATTTCAGTTGAAAATATAGAAAATAAATAATAATAAGCCATTTTAATTGTATTCGTTTGGCACCTAATAATAAATACAATTTATTTTTCCACTCATATTAATATTTAAATATTTAACTTAAATCAAAATTCTGAACATTTTCTAATTTTCATTGCATAACAGTTTTCCCTTAACATATATCCCAAGCAAAGTAATTTAAGTAATAAGGGCATGAAATCATTTCTGAATCAGAAGACAGGAAATTGCTTCATTCAGTCATCCTTTAACAGTAAAAGCTTACTAACCCGCATACTCGAAATTCCCGAATATTCCGGATAGTAACTGGAAAAAGAGGAGTGGGGGAGATTGTAGCTGTTCTTTAGATTTAAATTTAAGCTAAATAAATTATTTTGACATTTCGATATGTGCATCATATAAAAACCAACGGAACTGAGAAATAGTCGGCTTAGAAAGCACAGTAAAACTCTTTTAAGTGTGCATAAACAAATCTCAGACTGAACATCAAAATTAATTATCAATGCAAAATACCGCAAACGTTATTGCGCAATACGTGCGGCGTAATTCTTCCATATGGGATATTACGCAATCGGAATCAACACCTGCCGGTATTCGAAGAAAAAAGAACTAAATAAAGGAAAAGAAAGAGACTTACTAATCTGGGGTGTTTCTGATTCAATTTTCAACAGACTGTACTAAATTTCCGGAATAGAATCAATCTTCGCTTGGGTTGGGTAGACCGCAAAAACTTTTAGTCCTATTCAATTCAGATTGGACAGTGACCAAAAAAGGTCCGCTGCTTCAATATCAGAGATTTTGCGGAGAAACTCCCAACCTCCGTACTGTATAATGTATTGGCAAAGAAAATGAAATTATTTTGACTATTCGATTACTTTCCTTTTATTTAAGCCATTCCGAATATTATTCCTTAGAAAGCTAATCTGTGTAAAAACACACCCATTTTTGGAAGTTTATCTATACTTCAGCAGTTACTGCAACTATACTATTATAAATATTCATACATATACTCATAATATAAGCATAACGATCATAATAAACACGAATATGAACTGACCAAGCAGAACGAGAATGCAAATTATTAAAATCTTGATAGAAATTAGTATTTGGGTGGGAGGAATTCTCGCGCGCACCATAGGTTACGTAATGCAGAGAAAGGGGGGAAAAAGCGATTTCCGGGAGTATGATTCACCATCTGACGTTGCATATAAGAAAAAAAAGTTGTTTATTTAGTTTCGGCTTTGGTACGGGGAAAAAATGCGCGTTCATTAAAAACAAAGGATTAAAAAAAAAGCACTAAAAGCAAAAAATAAGCACTAAAAACAAAAAAATAAGGGCTTTAAAGAAAAAGTAAGCACCTATAAGGGCCTTTATATTTTATTTTCAAATATAAGGACTTATAAGCACTTGTAAGAACCGCTACGAACCCTGTTAACATGAGTCATTAGGGGAACAAGTTGGTTCTATTTTGCATATCATTTCCCTTAGCCCCTTCTGTAAAATCTAGTATGCAGTTTTTAAGTAATTCTGGTAGAAAATATGCAGAATCCATAACATTTAGAGTCTGTGAATTTCAGAACGAAGTGTTTAAAAAATTCTGTACTAATATTTTAAAATATCACTTTGTCAATTATTTAAGTGTTTACGTATTTTCTGTTTATGTCAAATTAACAGACAAACTGACCCTCCCCAAAAAGAGACAATGATTCCCTGAGAAATGTGACGGAAAAGATTGCTCTTTATTTAGTTGGATAATCTCAGATTGCTATTTATTTAATCAGGCAATAAACAGACAAAATTACAAATATTTAAGTTACATATTAACACTTAAATTATTCTCAGCTCAAGTTTGCAATTATCTAGTTAAGAAATTTATTAAAAACTAGTGTAAATCATTCAGTCAAAAATCCTTAATGGAATATAAAATATAAACAAAACTGCACTTTCTTCACTAATGCAATACCATATAAAGTCACTTAAATACAAATCTAAGTAGTGTGCTGTACTGTAATGTCTTCTTATTGCCCTATTTTGACGAAATCTACAATTTTTACTTCCTTGTACGAAGTAAAAAGGAAATATTGTAATCATGAAAAGTTTCAGGCAGCATATTTCAACGAAAATATCCATTTTGACCCATATCGAATGCAATTTAACGATGTTTTCGCGTGATATCTGTACGTAAGGACAGAATATAAGACACTTTTCCTCCAAAAAAAATTATAAAACTGCTTTAAAACGAATTCCGAAGAGAATTTTTTGTGGTGTCTACGCACCTCGCATAACTCAAAAACGAGCAGCCTAAGAACGTTGAAATTTTGTATATACGACTGCTGTAACATGCAGATGTGCACCTCATATTTTGTTTGCAATCGGCCGCACAAAACATATATAAATATATTTATATATATATCCGCTCTGTTACCAGGCTCAGTGATCTCAGTTTCCTTACTCTTATAAGTTTGTAAATTGTACATCTTTTGCTTTAAAAACGATTGAATTATGTTGTTTTGATCTTCCGGTTAAGGTTTTTATGCCTTTAGTAAATTTGTATACAATATTTTTAGAATTATCAACAATTTTAAAGTTGTTTAAGTGCCACTAAGCCTAATAATTTTTTTGATGGCGGCCATTGCTTGTTTACATTTGAAACAGCAGAGTAGTGGATTTGTTGCCAATCTAGAGGAACTTAGCTTCGCAACAACAAAGATAACGCCTTCATTTATTATTGCGAATTAAATCATCCTTAATCCTTTCTGGAATTTTTTTAAGGAAATAACTGTTTAAGACTTACTTCGTAATTTTTAACACAGATATTTTGAGTTTTTATGTATTTTTGCCTTGTCGCGAAGTGAGAACTGAATTAATTGAATGAGAAATACTCAATCGTCTGTGAAAAACTGTTTCTTTTTTGTTTTGTTTGCTTAATTTTTTTATACATCATTCTAGCTTTATTATAGTATTTGAATAGAACATGTGGCAAACGATTAGATAATTCTTTAAATGATATAAATTTTGTGCATTCTGAGTTATAATATGAACGAAATATAATACTGTTAAGTGAACTTAGTGCTTAGTTAGTTAGAACTTAGTAAAAACGTGGCGATATGTGTTCTGTGCTGGTTTTTCGCGCGATTATGTGTTGTATGGCAACCCTGTTGACGTTGAAAAATCTTTCGCTGGAGTTCGTTGAATCGCATCATGCTTTGTGTCTGAGAAGCTAGGGGGGAAGATAAAATGGTGGAAGTTGTTGAAATGAAGTTCAGCAAAAGGAAATATCGTCGTGCCATCCTATTGAGGGGCAGTGGATATTTGGAGGTGTGGAAAGAGGGTCTGGGAGATTATTTTTAGTGGTTGTGCATGATAGAAGTAGGGATTTGTGATTATTTATTTTATTTATTTGTGAACCATAGTATGAATTTTCTGGATAGTGTGTCTGGCTTTCATATAAATACGATAGTGATTACGTGGCGGCATGTTAAAGGCGGTATGAAATTGGTATTTCTGCTGTTCGAAAAAGCATTAATTCATGGTAAGTGCGTTTTATTTTATTCTTGTTCTTATTTTGTAGAATGCTATGTTCATTGTTTTTTTAGTATGAATTTCTGTCGTTATTGTTTTTTTTAATTGTTTGAAATTTATTTTAGTTATTTTGTTGATTAGTGCGCACCGTCTCAATTGTGCAATTCGTAGATGTTTTTTAAAGTTGAAACAGAACGCTGTATACATGGTATTCTTTGAAATTTATTGTTGTTATGTTAATTTATTAAAGTGAGGTGTGTGTAGTTCGTAGATTCGTTTGTTGCCTAAATTGTGCAATTCGTAGATGTTTTTTTAAGTTGAAACAGAACGCTGTGTACATGGGCTCTTGTCAAATAATTTTGGTTAGAAACTTTACGGTTTTGCTACCTAAATTTTTTGCTTTTGTTTCAGATTTTTTAGCTTAAATTGTGTGTTCAAAGCGTGGTTTTTGCATTCGCGAAAACCGTGTTTTTGGAGACATTTTAGGCTTAAAGTTCGAAATGTAGACACAAAATTTAGATAGCAATATGGCAGCGTGGAGTTTCTCGCCAAAAATGTTTGCCGACTTGACGGCGCATATCAGAGTAGTTCCATACAAGGAAGTCATGTGGTGTACACATCAGATTTTTGATGTTTTGATTATGCACATCAACATAATTAGTTCCTCAACTTTCAAAATATGCCACTGCTAGCTGTTCTGCAGAAAGTACGTCCTTTTAATCCTTTTTTTTTTTTTTTTAAATGTAAGACAAAAATGAAGAAATAGCAGTTAATTTAACACTTCATCACAAAATCCAACCTGGCTTGCTGAAGATCAGGACTACAGTAAATCAAAGTGAATGTATTATAACAAGACACTTTAATGATAAATTACACTGTTAAGCGTCAATGTTGAAAATGGTCAACAGCAAAATATGTAAGCATCATTATTTTTACCCAAGAAAATTTGAAATCCAGGACGTCACATATTTGATTTTTTAAAAAGATTTTTTCACAAATAAATTATTTTATTATTATTGTTATTGTGGTGGAGGTGGTATGTAGGTCTATATTAATATTTCTTGGAACATCTTTTCTTTTTTGAACTTCTTACAAAACAAAATGTCCATGCAAATAGTAAAATTTATTTTGATGAAAATTCAAATCAAAATTAAAAATTCATTTTGGTGATTAACATCCCCTTCAAAGTGCTCTTTTGTAGATCTTCATTAAATGCCCACTTCTTTCTCCTTTTCTTTTTTGATAAATTTATCTCAGCCAAAACAACATGATTTTTTTTGTTTTGCATATCTATCCTTTTTCATTGATGAAAATAAAGAGCCCTTTACGGAAGTTTTCTTTCAAAACTGTTTTTCCTCTAAATATTATCAAAGAGGTTAACTTTTCTTCCTTCCCAACCCCAAACACAAATAAAATAAGTCTTTTAATTCTCGGTTGTTAACACAGAAAAAAGTCGGAAAGTTTCTGTCCAACTGTTGTTTTGGCCCTGACATATAATATCTTATTTATTGAACCTGAAATACCAATTAGGTCTTACAACAAGTAATTGCTGTGCAATTACTTTTTCATTTGAAGGTGAATTCTAACTGTTCACACTGATAATCCATTTTCCATCTGCTCTCTTCTCAATTTCCCTAAACTGTCTTTCAAAACAGGCCAGGTTATGATGCTTTTTTTCTCTAATTCTTGTTAGGACTTCCAAGTGCAACACATGCAAAAATGAACATAGGACTTGGCAAAATAAAATTTCTTGTGGTTATTAAAAAGAAGATGGTCATCAAAAAAACACAGATAAAATCACAGAACTAAACAGAAAGTACATGCAATTTGGCGTCCTTATGCTGAGTGCATGCTACTGTAATTAAACAAGTTTCACGAGAGCTTGAAGTTGTTGCACCACCTTGGCACAATCTGAGCACTTGTATCAGGCTAAAACATCACAGCATATTCTACAATAACTGTTTCCCTTGTGCATATGATCTAAACCAGCAACAGAGTAAAAATAAAATTCCTTCAGATAAGCCACAAACCTTAATTTTCTACTGTTTAGTCGTTTACCTGCCCGAAATTATGAGAGCTTCAATATGCATATTTGATACATTAATTCAAACACTGCACAAAAATATCTGAATTATCTTCAAAGAATACCAATGATAATAAGAAACAATTACAGAAGCTTTAATTTCACATTATAAAACACTGTCGTAATTTTGCTATCACAAAAAAAAAAAAAAAAAAAAAAAAAAAAAAAAAAAAGAGTATCACAAAAAAAAAAAAAAAAAAAAAAAAAAAAAGTAAAATAACTACTATCAAGCTTTTGGTTTTATTTAAATGTGGCAAAGCACACAAGGGCTTCCTGTCTAAGAGTTATGCCTTCATGGAGGATTTTCTACAGAAAACTGGCTTTTATACATAAGGAAAAAAAGCACGAAAATGCCCATGTAGCCTGCCCATTTGCTGGGATTTAAACCCTGGTAGAACTACCAATATTCAGCGACCTTACCAATCGGCCACTACAGGGCCTACTCAAGAAAGAATGAGAAAACTTAATAATAAGAAAAATCTACAACCAAAATCAATGAATTTCAACAATTAGAAGCAACACTTGAATTTAAGTAATCTTTAGTATTTTGTCTAAGATACTGAAGTAATTTATGCCTGTTTGCTAACTTCAAAATAATTTTAGTTGCTCTTCCTTATTTCGGAACAAAATTTCGCCCCCCCCTCCCAAAAAGACATTTTCATCAATTTAGCAGAGAATATCCACAAAGTTGCCTAAAATTCTACCTTTACATGAATACAATGAAATAGCTGCAGATTTCGGCTGTTAGGCAGAAAACTGCAGTACATCAACTTTTTGTGATTATCTGGCCTAACATATATGCCTTGCAGCAAACGTCATAGCATTTACAATAAAGATATAGCACTTTAGTTTAATTGAAGATACAAGCAATACAGATTACATTTTGCAGTAAAAAAAAATTTTCCAAATTAGAAAGTCAAGGTGTTCTTTAAAAAGCATCTGAAGTAGTACACCACACAGTAAAAAGAAGTATTTACTTACTGAAAATGCTCCACCTCTTCTTCTAGAAGTATGGCTGCTTTTTCTCCAGGTGTACTGACTATTGCTATGAGTAGAATACACTAATCGATCTGTCTGGATGAATGGTATCTGTTTTGATAAGTTATTAGATGCATAGTTTGGTGTATTACTAGATGGTGTCACTATACTATCAATTTTGGAAACATGATTACTTTCAGTCGAGTGAATCTGAAAAAAGAATAGAATACAAAACTCATATGCCATTGTTCACTAAATGATCACATCTATGAAAGTATAGGTACAATTACATATCAGATAGCCCAGCTAACTGGCTTTTCAGATATCCTGGACTACGCTTGTGCAACTTTGGTAGACTATGGGTCGGATTAGAAAAAAGAAATATTATGCGGGCCGAATTTTGTATACATGTAAATAGTTTTAGGATAATTTACGATTTAATTAAATGAAAATATAAAAACTAAACACATCTTAATTAGTTTAATCTCTCTATTACTCCATATAAACCTCTATCATAAAATCTATAAAATTATAAAACAAAATTCTTGGGTGACGGTAGCTTTAGCATGAGGACTAGTACAGTCAAAAGTCGTTAATTTGGACCACCCATAATCTGGAACTCAAAGCTAAAAACTTTCTGCGTATGTGCTGCGTTGGCATGCGAACAGGCGTTTTACGCACGCGCGTAAGACCTTGACTACAGCGCATATGCGTGTGCGCAAGTGCAGAATACATTTTCGCCTGCGCGTTTAATGTATAACGGACGGTGTAAGCTAAAATTATCTAATTATCTATTTCAGTTAATGTTAATGATTGCGTTGTTACTTAATCTTCGAATTGGATCCCGCTTATTATTTTTTGCAGACTGTAAGAGCAATTTTATAAAAGTAAACTTGAACTTTCGATTATGTCAAATAGAATTTCCGATGCTGGAACTTCCAAAGGATCTACAAAACGAAAGTATGTTTCGATGTCCAACAAACAAAAAGTGGAATTGCTGCAAAAAATGGATAAAGACATGAAGAATGTGACAGAGAGGTTAGTGAAAACGAAAAAAATTTCGATTGACAAGTTAGTCGGTATTCTCGGCACAGCAATTAACGGGACTTGAACAGCGGAACTTTGTAACTGAACAAGAAATTATGTCTGTTTATAGAATTAAAGAGAAAGTATTATCACATAAAATGAAGCAACTTAAACAACTTACATTGAAAGAAATGTTTAATAAAGTAAACAAATAAATATTAAGCTTTTTTTTTTTTGTAAATTTTGATACCCTTTAGATCATAATTGTTCTTTATTTCATAAATTACGGTTTCATATTTTAATTTTAGAATTTCTGCATGCCATCTTACGAGATTTAAACTGATGATCTATAATCCGGAATCGCCGAAGTCCCGACGAGTCGGATTAACGACTTTTGACTGTATACGAGGCCATCCAGGAAGTTCTTTACGTTTCGTCTGTGTCCGCTAGGGGCGGGGCTAGCGCGGCCATCTTGGGGTCAGAGCGTTGCGCAGCTAGTCTGCATCTAGCCGTGCTATGAGAGGTTCGTGCTGTGCTCCGTTCGATACTGTGACGGTTTGAAATGTCGCGTTAATTGAAAATCCCGCGAAGCTGCGCTCAGTAATAAGGTTTCTGACTGCAAAAACTGTAAACCGATAGAAATCTATCGGCAGCTTCGTGAATTATGGGGACAACATTATCACTGAAGGTGGAGTGCGTCAGTGGTCATAAGATTTCAAAATGCCGAACCAAAGTTCCGACGAAGATCGAAGTGGAGACCCAGCATAGTGACCGCCGAACTTCTCGAAAAGTCGATGCTAAAGTCCGTGAAAATCGAAATTTCACAATAACGGAACTTTCTTTGAGTTTCCACAAATTTCGCGAAGTTTGTTGCACGAAATCATCAGCGAAAAGCAAGAAGAGGTAACGAAGTGGTTGAAGGCGCAGGCGGCCGAATTTTTCGACGAAGAATTTCCAAGCTCGTCCATCGCTACGATAAGTGCCTCAATTTGTTTGGTGACTATGTAGAAAAGTAGTATTTTAGCCATGCTTTCTGATGTATATAATAAAATTTGTTTCCTATACTTTGTTTATTTTTTTATTCCAAAACGTAATCTACTTTCTGGATAGCCCTCGTATTTCAAGTAGGGACAAACCAAGGGAATGCTTTATTGTTATTTTGTTTGGGGCAACTGTTGGCTGATGGGAAAAAGAGTTTACTATTCTCCTCCTTGGTTTTGTTCCAGTTGCAAGAGTCTATTTTATTCAGTCTTATATCACTTTTAGCTATTTTCATTTTTGTTGCTATTTCTTTTGTGCTGGTATTTGTTAAAATATGTTTCTAGTTATCTTGCTTTTTGCAGCACTCTGATAATTGCCAATTTCTTAAAATGCCCATCCAATTTATGAAAGGTGTGTACAATGCTGCAGAATTTTGAGCTTCTGATGCTTTAATAACTCCTTTCCCTCAAGCTTTGAAGAGAACATCTTTAACTGTTGCAGTATCAGAGTATAAAATTTACAAAACTAAGCATAAAGTATTGACAAAGTGTTAAAATAAACTTTTAAATATACCCGGAAAGAAACGTAAAAGACCCACTTATCGAAACTGTAAAATTGATAATTCTTATGAATGTGGTATATGGCAGACAATAGAAAACTTCTGCATCAAAGAAAATAAAGTGCCATCTGTTCAGAAATTATTGCCTGTGTTAAAGAAAAAAATAGGGTAAAAGTTTACAATTGGGTGCCCTTGTTTTTTGGCGATTCTTTTTTGACGCCAAGATCGGTGCCAGGAAAACCCGAATTCAAGATGGCCACTATACAAAATCAAAATAAGAAGTCAAAGAATTACACAAACTCTGTGTACATGTACACATCGATCTGTTTTCACTTAAAAAAACATCCTAGAATTGCACAAACTAGGCATTGCGCACTGGCTTAAATTTGTCCATGTACCCATCAATCTATTTTCATTTAAATAACATTAGGAAGCTAAAACAAAGTTAAAACTATCATGGTAACCAGAATGAGGCTTCCTCACCGAAATTTGAAAAAAAATTGAATCGAACGGGCACCCAATTCTACACTAGAGCAAAAAATAGATTTCCTGTGGTAAAAAGACACTTTGTTAAGTTTTTGTGATTAATGAATTTTTGCTGGAAGAAATCTAATGCATTTAATAACAAAAGAGAAATTCTTATCGAAAGAGCCAATATTATATTTTGGAGGAATGTGGGAAATGTTTGGAATTATGTGGGAGAAATGAGGAAGCATAATTTTGTATTAAAATATTGATATAAAATTATGTTAATGCAACAAAGCTAACTGTAGTCGTAAAAATCCAAATTTTGTATAATTTTAAGGAGAAAGTGCAGAATCGCCCACTGCTTAGCATGTTTTTAAGACTTCCACATACTTTGTATCCATGTACACATCAACCTATTTTCACTTAAAATACCAGTATTGCAAAAAAATGGCATTGTGCACTCCCTTGACATTATCCATGTACACATTGACTATTTTCACTTAAAAAGTGAAAGAAAATTGACAAAAATCCAATTCTTCTTACTCTTGTAAATAGCGCCTAACAAATAAGTGGGCGATTCTGCACTTTAGCCTATTTTAAATATAAAATACATAACTGAATAATTTAAAAGGCCTTAACTTTGTCCCGATTTTAATATTTTATTATGTTAATTTCTATTACAGTGTCTCTACTAAGCAATATAATATGCAAATGAGAATTAGTAATTAATATAAAAGAAGTTTTGATTTTAACTCAACTTTCCTGCTCCCTTTTCCCATTAAAATTATCAGCTTTTGATTTAGTCTCAATGTATAGAAAATGAAATAATGTTCACAAAAAGTATTTATTGAGAGTATGGTATGTAAACAAACACTATTATTTTCAAATGATGAAATTCAACTAAACATCAAATAAATTATGATCACGGTGACATTAATAAGGAAGAATTTCTGGTTAAGTAAGAAGTATTCCAAAATTTTATTTCTGTTATTACAAGGGAAAGCAAAACAGGAACATAGATAGGCGGTCTTGTGAATTTTTGAAAGTTTATTCTAAAACACAATATCTCCGTAACAAAATTCCAAATATAATAATACCATTCCGAGCTTTCCTCATAACTGCTGTAAGCATTGCTGGTTGTGAGAAGAGTTTTCTAATAAAAAAATCTTTTAGAAAGTAGAATAATAAATGTTAATTTTGCATTTAGGAAGTATTTAAGAACAATAAAACTTTATTTTGCATTTATGAAATGTGTTTATACAGTCAAAAGTCTTTAATCTGGACACGTCGGGACTTCGGCGATTCCGGATTATCGATCATCAGTTTAAATTTGGTAACATGGCATGCAGAAATTATAACATTAAAAATATGAAACCGTAAATTATGAAATAAAGAACAATTATGATCTATCTAAAGGGTATCAAAATTTACAAAAAAAAAAGCTTAATATTTATTTGTTTACTTTATTAAACATTTCTTTCAATGTAAGTTGTTTAAGTTGCTTCGTTTTATGTGATAATACTTTCTCTTTAATTCTATAAACAGACATAATTTCTTCTTCAGTTACAAAGTTCCGCTGTTCAAGTTCTATAATTGCTGTGTCAAGAATACTGACTAATTTGTCAGTCGAAATTTTTTCGTTTTCAATAACCTCTGTGTCACTTTCTTCACTATCGGAAGCGAATTATAATGATGAGGAATTTGATTTAAATCATATCAAAGACGAAGTACAACGAGATGAAATACTACATTTAGTAAGGAATTCTAAGGCAAATAAAATAAAAACATCTGCCCTGAAGATAAGGATAGTGCTGACAGATCAACTTCCAGTTCATTGCGCGCCGCCACGTCCCCCCCCCCCCCGCAGAGCAGCGTGAAATTTATAAACAGATTTCGGAATGATTAGATAAACAAATGATTGTGCCTTTATCCATCTTTTGCAGAAATTCCACTTTTTGTTTAATGGACTTCTAAACATACTTTCGCTTTGTAGATCCTTTGCATATTAGTAAATATATATCAGAAATTCTATTTCACATAATCGAAAGTTCAAGCTTACTTTTATAAAATTGCTCTAACCGTCTGCAAAATATAATAAGCCAGATCCAATTCGAAGATTAAGGAACAACGCAATCTGCAACCTTAACTGAATTAGATAATTTTAGCTTAGCTTATACCGTCTGTTATACATTAAATGCGCATGTGTAAACGTATTATGCGCATGCGCACACGCATATTCGCAGCCATAAAGGTCTTACGTGCATGCGTCGCGCAGAAATTTTGTAGTTTTGAGGTCTGGATCATAGATCATTCCGGATTATGGGTGTCCGAATTAACGACTTTTGACTGTACTACATTATAGCAAATGGGGCAATCAAGTAGACCTCTAAGATATCATTGATAATTTTGCAAACTAACAAAACACACACACAAAAAAAGCAAAATAATAGCATAACTTCAAAATGTTGGAATTAAATTTTTTCTTCAAAAATAAGCACTTAAAAACCGCAAGGCGTGGGTTACAGTCAAGGGTTATAGATAAATATTTTCTTTTTAAATAGCCAATGTGTACATACATGTTTGAAAATTTTTCTTATTTCAGTATTATGCAGCTGTTGGCATTGCTTCAATACTTCCTTCCTTTTAGAACTCCTTTCAAGATAATAATAAATATCAATAATGTGTTCATCCACACTTATTGGTAAGGAAACTGTCCTTTTTTTCCGCTGATAAATTTAACATGTGACAGATACATAATTTGTAAATCCATGTTTTTCTTTTTTAAGATGTCTGTAACAACAGTCTTCAAGTCTGCCATTACTGGTGCATTATTGGCACCAAATGCTAAGCAATTATACATAGGAATTGCATTTTTAGTTTTAATAAATAGCTGTGCTACATTAAAGGCTGTTAATTATTATAAAGGGAGAACAGAAAGTAAACTACACTCAGTTTCTGAAGACAGTGGATTAAAAGAAACAACAATTGAATACATTTTTTAAACATTATTAATGCTTCCATCCATACAGAGGCAGAATGGAACCATTTTAATGCAATCAATAACTGAAGATTAATTTTTCATACCATTTCTTTAACAATTGCAGCCGTTTTAGCCCCAGAGTATTTTTTAGAGATTTCACTATCAGGAAACTTTTGTCTAAATAAAGCTGCAGCATGATCCGATGCATTCAGTACCAGGTTTGCACTCTAGTAAAAAGGGAGAGAACAGACATTCTGCATTAATAACTTTTTGGTCCTTCATTTCCCCAGAAAAATTTAACTTTTCAATAGATTTCAAGTGGTCCTTGTGTATGAACACGTTTGAGAACATTGACTCTCCTACCATGTGAAATTGAAAAATCACTATGACGAACAAAATACATTGTAAAATTATTACATTTCCTTCAGGAAATAACAGAAGGAAAGTCACCTGTGTATGACCTTTGAAAAGTACATTAGTATTTTAGCTTTTTCGCAGACATAACTAAAACAAAAGATTGTAATTTTTTAGAAGCACATCCACTTACATCACTTGGTGACATGATAAACGAAGTAACAATCATGATCTTGCTTTGTGCTCATTCGCTAATATATAATAGATAGCACATAGTGACACTCAATGCTCGATGAAGAAGTGAAACACAACGTTCTCGGACACATGTGCTCTCATTCACAAAGCAAAAAGGGCACCACAATTTCTCGCTGATGAAATGTCTTTGGTTTTCTTTTATATGTAATCTAGAGGAAACTTATGGGTCTCTAGTTTCAGTTGAACAATGTCCCAAACATCTACTTTGTAGAAAATGCAAACACTTAAAATTTAAACTGAATGAAATAGAATTCACAACATAACAGTATATAAAACACATTAAAATAGGCTTTTAAAACAAATGAAAATTGAAAACACAAACCTCAGTCTTTTTAAGTGGTCTAGATTTTAAAGTTGCTAAAGCCGCCATACGTAAAGCAGCTAACTCTTCATCATCTTCTAGATCTTTGTTTTTGGTTTCCATCCTGATCTACAATCAAATATTCTTTTTAATCAAAGAAAATGTAGAGATTATTATAATGAAAGAAAATAATCAATGTTTTAAATACTTTTGATATAAGAAAATAAATTATTTCAAATCAATATAACAAGATGTACTATCAAAGAATAATACGGTGGCAAACAAATCTGTTGGTACTGAAATTTTATATCGTTCACCCAAATACGCAAACAATATTTGTGACAATCTATACAATCCTCTTAGTTCAAATAATTCGAACAGAAAGAAAAATTTAGCGCTAATCACAGAGAGGAAAATAAAAGAACAGAAGGATAAACAAACAAGGTTTTTGAACTTTTTATAGGTTACAATGAAGGAAATTCAAAATCGCAAGAATCACTTATGACACAAACTTAAGACACTTCCAGTAAAAACCAACAGGTAAATTTAAAGAGTAGTGAAAATAAATGACAATATGAAATCTATACAATGCAACTTACTTCAAATATAAACAATACAAATCCACTCAAACTTAATTTGGAGACGCCATTTGCAGTCCAAAACGGAATACAATAAAAGTTACGACACCCTTAGAAACAGCCCTATCACATTGCTCAGTTCCGTGAAATTTTGTTCCTGATAGAGGGCGCTGCGAAATCTTTCGGGTTTGTTTTTGATAACGAAAGCGGTAATCAATCTCTAGAATTTAAACTCTTTACATTTTATCATTATTAAAATATTAAAAATTTAATTCTGTATACATCTGATATTTGATCTTTGGCACAGTGATCAAAAGGTCTGCTGAAAGCTATGCAAATATAGGCTGACCATTTGTGTCATTTTAAAAAGGGCAGTATTCCCAGCCCTCACGTAGTGAGTGTAGTGAGAATTATTTGCGTTAAGAATCGTTTTCTGTATTTACTATTTCTTTCCTAGTTGTGCTGTTTAATTTTTTAGAATACAGTGAAAAGTAAGATTCCATTTCGTAAATTTCCAAATACGAGTCAACAAAATTTGCTTTAATAAACTCCTTACCAACTAGCAAAAAACTTAATTGAATTTTTTGAGAATAACTCTAGGCAAGATCGTGCAACCTTTAAAAAAAATGTTGTATAGTTTTTTTGAAATCTGGACATCTGGCAAATATCTGTCGAAATAATGTAAAAATGCACTGAATGTCATAGTCAGCATTATCAAATACTTCGTTACACGACGTTAAATGAGATACATTCCGCAAGAGAAGAAGAGGAAGAATGACCTTTGTTTGTTTGCATTAGCTGTACATAAGTCACGTGAACTCTGATGTCATCTGCATTGTTTGTCTACAAAAGGTATACATAAGTCACGTGATCAATGAGGTCAAGGGAATGTATCTCTACTAGAGCTGGAGCAAACCGCATGTATTCGTTACTAAGTAACGGGCACATCGGTTGACTCGAAGTACCGATTCGGTACTCACAAATTCATTTCGTTACTCGCATCTGTCGTACGATGCGGTTTATTCGAGTACGAATGATGGGTCGCCGCTTTTTCGGATGGCCCAGACTTTCCTTTCCCCATCGATGACGAATAGCTGATAGCTTTGCGCTTTGTAATCGATTACGGGAGCTTCGATACTTTGTTTACGTTTTATGTGGAATTGTGGTAAGATTGTATATGGAAAATCTTGCGGAATTGATAAGGACCGCTCTTCATATTTAATTTTTTTTTCTTGCTGTATACGAGAGTGGACGCAATATGAATAAATCTCTATGCTACAGTCAATTATTTCCATTATTCGAATTAATTCATCTTGAGAACTTTAAAAGTCTTAATAAACAGAAACTTACTCATATTGCTGATACAAAAGTATTGATATGCTTTGTTCAATTCTCTTGTTAATAAAAAACAGCAATTGTGCATGTAATGACAGTAAAAAATAGTGAAAATTTATATATGTCTGTATTGTTGCCTAAGTAGTAATAATGCATGATTATAAAATAAATATTAGAATCTACTGAAGTAATAATTACATATGTTAGAACACAAGAAAAGAATCTGAATTTTTATTTATTTTAGTGACCCGTATTTTTTTTTTTTTTTTTAATTATGTTCACAGAGTTCTTTTTTAAGTTTCCCCCAAACAGCAGAGATGCGTGACCTAAATTTTGTACTGAACAACACAAAATTATGTTCAAAGAAAAATTAATAAATTCTGCATTGCCTACGATTGCTAGTTAAAAAAAAATCATGTTTTCCATTTCTCCACATCGAAAAATTATACTGGGGGGGGGGGAGACACCACTTCATTTGGCATTTGATGTTTTATATCAATAAAAATCCCATGGTTTTAACCATTGATTCTAATTTTAATCCTTCTTCATTGTTAGCTTTTAAGGAAATTTGCTTCTTATTTGCATTTTAGTCTCTTTCTGTCAATAGTGGTATTAAGGATTTGGTTTTTTTATCATTTAACCATACTCTCCAGTTTCTTTCTGTTGCTTCTCTTTCTTACACCCAGTGTGCATGCCGTGAATGCATTATTTCAGATTCAAAAATGTATAGACAGAAACTGTACCAGGACAACAAAAGTGGTAATTTAACAACATTGGCATCAATTATCCCCTCCCTAAGACAACCACTTCAAATATTTTTATATACTCAAATATTTTATAGCAGCTGTGTCTGGCTGTCTTACATATGGTTCACTGTATTTTGTGATTTAAAATTTATTAGCTCGTTATAATACTGATGCAATTTAAAAATTTTTCTTAGTTTGTTCAAACAACCCATGTTATGGATCAAAAAGTAGTATCTTATGATTATTAGTCATATTATTAAAAATTTCAAAATGGCTTTTGGAAATTTTCTTCCTTACGCAATGATTTGCAGTTTGGCAAAAAATCTTTCACAAGTTGGTCTTACTATGGGCAAGTATTGAATTTTGTTTCCGAAACGATAACCAGTAATTTTGTTTAGGAGTTAAAAATCATTTCTATGGTATATGTAAATCTTTTTAGTTTTTAATATATTTCAAAAATTCCTTTTCTTATGCCATAAGGCATGTGTAAAATAAGCTTATTTCCTTGTATTATTATTATTAAACCATTCAGAAGAAGCCTTTCTGATAATTGAATCACTGAAACTTACGCCGTACCTTTCTGTTAATTAGAAAATAATTTTGGATAATAAAATAAATGTATTAGAAAAGTATTATATTATTAAAATATTTTTTTTAAATAAATTAATGTATTAGAAATCTCTGTAATTTAAAGCAAGCTTTCGTTCTTCAACTACATGTCCATTTCCGATACCCAAAGGCTAATTCCATCATAATAACTTATCTTTTATCTGGTCATTATTCAGTGAAACCTTTCTATTTGAAAATTCTGTGATCATCCTTTGTAATAAAGGCTCAAGATACAACCTCCACCACCTGCGAAATGCATGGCTTTTTTTGTACAGGATCTCTGTGGCTGTTACTGGAAGGCACTAAATAGTATGTTCAAGCACTAAATAGGCTTCCTTATTCTCTGTTTGTTATTTAGTGTGTGATAATATTTTTGTGTATGTGTATTTGATAATATGTACATATATATATATATTTACTTTTGTCTACCATTGGAAATAAAAATATATGCATTACAAATCTGAGTTATTAAGCACATTAAGGCTGTTTACACCTTTCATTCCAAAACAGATATTCAAATTAAATACATTAGGCAATTTGTGTTTATCTACCATTTGTTTCAATAATAATGTTTTTGTTGGCATTAATTTCTCTAAGTAATTTAAACATGAGGTTGTTTAAGGCCATTTTTTATCCATTCATTTATTGAAATATTTACATTTATACTTCTTATATATTAATATTTTACTTTTTTTCCCTCATTAGATAATCCAAGAATTTTATATATGTTATAATTTATGGTATAGGCTTGTATATATGCAATATGAATTTTTTTTTTTTAAAAAATTTTCCAGAAGAAAAAAATTCTTATCTTCTATTTCTGATCTTATTATCTGATTGTGTTATAAAGTATTTCTCCTGCCTTCATAGCATACCTACCTGATCAGTACACTCGGCACATATTCGAGAGGTCCATGGTTCGAGTCGCAGGGAGGGTATTGCTCGTTTTTCACGTCTCTCAGCTTCCAAAAAAATCGTAATGTCTCTACAGTGTCTTCTTCAAAATAAGCAAATAATCTGATGGAATGAAAATATTTTGGTCATTAAAACTTTTTAATCACTACATTTCTTTTTTTGACATAATTAAGTTTTCAAGTAGTTTGAAGGTTTTCAAACTAAGTTTCAGAGAAAAATTTTAGATATCCGCCAACTCCTCTGGGGCATCTTCAAGTTAAAATCAAAATTTAAAACTATTTTTAATATCACTGGACACGCAATAGAATAAAAATATTTCTTTATTTTAAGTTTTTATTACAAAAAATATTAAGCAGATCTGTTTTTATGATTAACATTATAATGAAATAATGATTTTCTTTTCACTTTCTGCATAAAATGCACAAATACATTTGGCTGCAATTGTTCCATATGATATTCCTATACAACATCCCAAAATCTTGGTAAATAACTTTCTAAACCAAGATTACAGTGTAAAAAAAGTAGTGGAAAAATGTTATAGTCATGTAACTGGGCTACCATACATAAAAATTAAGCAGTGTTACAAGTGTTTTTATCTTAACTGCCAAATAACATCTTACAACCTTGTTATTTGGTTGTTAATATCTTAACAACCAAATAACAAGCTATGAGAAAGAACATGCAGTGTCAGTACAGCTGGATGATCCCTTTTACAGAGTTGCTAATTTGAAAACAAGTTAACCTGTAAAACTACCCTTCATACTGGTTTGCTTTAGATTCATTTGGTAACAAATATGCCATTAAAGTCTGTACCAATCAATCAATAAACCTTGTTACAAGCAAGTTTTTGTTTGCAGGATGCTGTTCATAATTGGCTTTCTTTTGGTGGTATAGCAACAGCGAAGGGAGAAAGATTCCGGGTAATTTAAATTCAACTAACATAGCAAATTCCATTCTTCTGTAACTTTATAATTTGATACAGCTTTATTTTTCAGAATTTTATTCACACCACTATTTCATCCATTGCAGACAAATTCCACAAGT